AAGGAATCACTTAAATACAGAGTTAGTATGCACATTGCAACATAGTTGTAACTACAATGAAGAAATATGCATTATTTTACCCTAAAACTTTACAAACACTAATATTTTTAAATTATAGTGTTGGCTGTTGAGATATGTTTCTTCATTTTTTCATAAATTTCTTTTAATGCCTCCTACCATCTTTAAGGGGATGAATTTGTCACAGAATTAATTGTTGAATTTCAATGCCAACCTCTCTTTTTTGTACAAATAGCAACTTAGGTAATTATGCAATAGGCCGTAACTAACTGAAATACGTATATTGCCCATTTGTCCCACTGCTCTTCATATTTGCTACAAGATTCTTAATGCTCACAACACTGCAGGAATTGAATTACAGAACATTAGCTACATTATTGTTATGATCATAGACTTCCATAAAACGGAAGTCCATGAAATAAAATTCCAAACTCTGTGTTTACAAAGCAATACTACACCTTGTTCTCTCTTCTGTGCCTTCTACCTCAAAAAGCTTACAATGATGTTGCTCACACAGCATAAAAAATTCCATTGAAACTCTTTATTCTTTAACTTTATGGAAGCTTTCATATATTGCTGTTAATGAAATCAGTGCTAGATCAATTTTCCTATTTCTCTTTCCTATGTCAGTTCCTCAAACCAAGTCCTTGTATGTCTATTCCCTAATCTCCAATTTGTAGACTTAATTACAATATATTTCCTAAGATAACTCTGACTCCCTACTAACTCCTGTGGTAGTTTAGTCTACAGTATGACATATGTATGTGTGCTTTGCATCATTTTGCCGTACTATTGTTCATTTCTTCTCAAGTCAAAAGGTACCAGTCTTTCAAAATGAGCCAGCACTTCTAAAATTACTGGGGTAAAGATTCATTTAAATAAATGGTGCAGAGACAAGTGAGTCCAAATGTAACAAAACACACAATAATGAAATTGAAATGTAGAGATCTGTATGTAAAAACATTTTAAAATATTTTTAGGAAAAAACAGGTATTAGAAGAAAACATAATTCTTTAACTTTTATATAGTAAAAGGTTTCCTAACTATGAGTAAAACTCTATAAATTGATATGCAGTGATTTCTAAGATGTGGTATTAAGTGAAAAAAAAAACCCAAATTCAAAATAGTATTTTACTCTGTGTAAGAAACAAGGAGTTATTATAAATGGGCATGTATCTGCTCATTTGTACAAAAGTTATACTAGAAATTTAGTAGGTTGGTTATCTATAGGTGGCAGGTGAAATAGAGGTGGTAAGAAGGGAGGAACTGGAACTGGGTAGCAGGGATTAGGAGGGAATGACATTTTTAAAAGTCATAATCTTAGAGTTATATTAAAGTTTGGCATACACTTTACATGCTAAACATACAAAAATAATTAGAACCAGCCAGGATTGTGGGAAGAGGCTCAAATGAAATTTAAACATTAATAGGTGGATCTAACATTATAAATGAGTAAGAAAATCACACTAAAAGAATTCAGGTAGAAAATAATTGATATAAGTAACAGCACGACACAAATAAATTATAAATAATAAAATTTGTGCTTCCCAGTGTAAACAAAAATCTATAAACCAACAGGAGGTTCTTAAATGTACTTCATGGCAGTAAGGTAGAATCAAATTATAGGGATAAACTCACGGCTAAACACATACAAACACACACACATAGAGATATATGCACATATATACCTATACACAGATAAATAGGGTAAATATATAGACATGTTTGTATTTATATGGGTTACTATATGTGTATAAATATATATATATACACACACACATGCATATATGTGTGTATATATGTATATGTATATTTCTAGCCCTGTCTCCTGAGACATGTAAGAAGTAATTTAAAAAAAGAAGTAATTACATCTCAATAACAATGAGTATACTTAGCACCCAGATCTTGGTCCCTAAATACCATTGTGCGATAAAGGAAATCAGAGCCTCTAGGACAAGTGGTGCTTGATCCAGTTCTGGGGCAGAGGAAATACAAGATGTTCCTAAAATATCTGGTACTTCCAAGAAAGTAAAGAAATGCTCAAAAAATAATGTGGCCTGTCAAAAGAACACAAGAGATACTTCTCGTCTGGCCACATGGAATAGACTTATTTCTCCCACTCTTTCACAAAGTACAACTATAAATCCTGTAAAAACTATAAAAGGAGAGCAAAGGACAACACTGAAAAGTAGAAATATAAAGTTAGAATGCCTAAAAGGCCCCAAAGTAGAGAAGGACTCTATAAATAGTGTATTAGGACCCCCAACCCAAGAGCAGAAGGTGGTCCAAGTCCAGAGAATTTTGATACGCAACATAGCAATAGAACACAACTCAGGTAGGTTTATTTCACCCCAGGATCTAATAGAAGCCTCACCAACAACACTTGGCAAACTCAAGAGCACTGGCAGAGGGGATAAATCACCTAGAACATAAGTGGCCAAGAAAACCATTCTCTTTTTCTGCAAGATGTGAGATACCATTTTCCCCCATCTAGAGACACTGGCCAGGCGGGTGGTGCTGGTAGCACAATCAGCAGGTGGGTGGGGGCGGGGGGTGAGGATTCTTGCCATAACCAACAACCTGCCTGGGGAGCCTCATTATCTTCACCAATCCTGAGACTCTACTCTCCTCTTTAGAGATATCAAGGATTTAGGTGATTCAGGAAAGGGAGATCCCACCATTAAATGTACTAAGACCTGGAAGCACTCTTTGTTCTACAGGTCTGTGAGGTCCTTTCATCAACTAAAGACTGGCCCAAAGTGTCTGAGCCAGAAAGTACTTTTCATCCCTCCAGGCTGGAGAATCCTTTACCCCACCTAGAAGAATCACACAATCAGGTGACTGGATGGCATTGTTAGTGAAACCACACCAAAACAAGTTTAAGGCCTGGGAAGTACTACTTATCCATGGGAAGATAATCCCTTTATCCACCTAGAGATATGAAGTAGCCAAACAACTCTAAAAAGTGGGATTTGTCACAACAAGTACCTAGCTGTAGAAAAATGTTTTGTCTCCAAGGGCTGGAAACCACCTTTCCTAATATAGAGGCACCAGGTGGCCAGACATAAGGAAGCTCATTCTGTACTCTCAGGATACACCAGCAGGGAGACAACAGAGCCAGGTAAACAAAACAGAAAAAAAAAATCACTACAAAGGCTCTGAAAATTCGATTTCCATGGGAACTGCATCCCACAAAATTAGGCTGTAACCTACGTGCTAAACCTCAACTTCCTGCCTAAATTGAAATATTTAAATAAGAACCAGATCCTTCTAACATAATAGTCAAAAATTCAAGAACATAATTTTTAAATAATTTGTCATAACAAGAACCAGGAAAGTCAGAACTTCAGTGCAAAAAACAACTGATCCTAACACTGAGAACATACAGATGTCAGAATTATCTGACAAGTATTTTAAACAACCATCATAACAATGCTTCACATTTCTGCACAGCGAAATAAATAATCACCAGAATAAACAACCTACAGAATGGGAGAAAATATTTGCAATGTATGCCTCCAACAAAGGACTGATATCCAGAATCTAGAAGAAACTCAAACAATTCAAGAAAAAAACAACAACAAAAAACAAACAAACAACAAAGAAAAAACAATGCCATTAAAACCTGAGCAAAGCACAGGAATAGACATTTCTCAAAAGAATAAATACAAGGGGCTTACAGACACATGGAAAAATGCTCAACATCACCAGTCATTAAAGAAATGTAAATTAAAACCACGCTGTGACACTTTACACCAGTTAGAATTACTATTATTAAAAACTCATAAAACAACAGACGCTGGCATGGATGTAGAGAAAAGGGAACACTTACACACTGCTGCTGGGAATGTAAATTAGTTCAACTTCTGTGGAAAACAGTATGGAGATATCTCAAATAAATAAAACTAGAACTACAGCTTGACTCACCAGTCCCACTACTGGGAATCTACCCAAAGGAAAAGAAATCACTATATAAAAAAGACACCTGCATTTGTATGTTTATCACAGTGCTATTCCCAACAATAAAATAGTGGAACCAACCTAAGTGTCCACCAAGGGTTGACTGGATTAAAAAATGTGGTATATATACACCATAGAATGCAGTCATAAAAACAATGAAACCATGTCCTTCACAGTAATATGGATATATCTGGAGGCCATTATTCTAAGTGAACTAACTTAGAAGCAGAAATTCAAATATCACGTATTCTCACAGTGGGAGCTAAACAGTGGGTACATACGGACACAAAGATGGAGATAATAGGCACTGGGAACCCTAAAAGGAAAGGGGAAAGGAGTGAAGGTTGAAAATTATCTATTGGGTAAAATATTCAATACTTGAAATATCCCCATATATTTCAAATTCCCATTATGCATGTAATATCCATGTATTAAGCAATTACATATACCCCCTTAATCTAAAATTCAAAGCGAACTTCACAAAGCAATTTCAAATTTATCTTGAGGCAATGAAAAAATTTGAAAATTTTGTGAAAGAATTGTTAGTAATAAAAAAGAACAGAATGGAAATATTATAACTGAAAAATACAAGATTAATAAAACACTCTATATGTGGGTTCAATATTAGAATATAAATAGTAGAGAATAATATAAATGAATTTGGAAATAAGTAATATATTTCACCTAATAGAGATAAACTAGACTGAAAAAAAATAAATGAACAGAGCCTCTGGGACTTCAGGGGCAATAACAAAGCGTCCAATAATTACATCATTAGAGTTCCAGACAAAGATGGGAAGGAGAACAAAGTTTAAAGAGTATTTGAAAAAATAATGGAAGAAACCTTTCCAAATATGGTGAAAGACATAAATCTACATATTTAAGGAGCTAAATAAAGCCCACATAAGTGAATTCAAATAATTACATGTCAAGACTCATTACAATTAAATTTCTGAAAATTAAAGACAAAAAATCTTGAAAATAGTCAGAGAGCACTGACACATTATAGGGGAACACCAATTCAAATGACAACATATTTCTCACCTGAAGCCCTGGCAGAAGAAGGAAGCAACATATTTTCCAAGTGCTGAAAGTAAAGAACTGTCAACTGATCAAAATTATTCTGGAAAGCAAAGGAAATAAAGACATATTATGATGAAGGAAAATTAAAATAATTTGTCCCCAGTAGACCCACTATTAAAGTGTACTAAATGAATTTCTTCAAAATGAAAGGAAATGATAAATTAAGGAATATTGAAGCATAAAAATAAAGAACAGAAAGAGAAGAAATATGAATATATAATTTAAATTCACGAGTTTTCCTAATCATATCTGATGATTAAAATACAAACTATAACACAATCTGGCACTCAAAACAATAATACTTAAAAGTGAGGAATCTAAAATTAAATAGGAATAAGACTTTCAAAATTCACTTGAAGTGCTAAAATATGGATGGAAACCAGTAGACTGAGATAAGTCAACTATGCATATCATAATACCCAGAGCAACCTCTTAAAAAATACAAAGATATACCCTCAAAACATTATAAATAAATCAAAACTGAATTCTAAAAAGAGTTTGAAGAGCCTACAGTAATTTAGAAAACAGAAATAGAATTCAGAAACACTGAAAACAAACAATACAAATAATAAAGTGACAAACTTAAGCTCCAACATATCAAATTATCTTATATGTAGAGTCTAAATACACCATTTAAAAGAAAATTACTACCAGAGTTAATAAAAGTAAGAAAAATAACACTAAATAACGCTATGCTGCTTTTAAGATACTGGCATCAAATTCAATAAAATCGACATTGAAATTAAAAGGGTGGATAAACATATACCACGCAAACTTTATTTAAGAAAAGCAGGAGTGACCATATTAATATAAAATAAATAGACTCCAGAGCAAAGAAACTGATGAGAGACAAAGGAAAAAAAACACATAATGATAAAAAGATCAATCCACTAGAAAAATATAAATATCATAATGTATATGTACCACAAAACAGAACCTCAAAATATGTGAAACAAAAGCTGATAGAGTTGAAAGGAGAAATAAACAAATCCACAATTATAATTAGAGACTTCAAAACCTCCTCAAAGAAATGAAAAGAACTTCAAGTCAGCTCTGCAAAGTGTTACATAAATTGACCAGAAATGGCCTCTTCATATTGGTCCAAAATGGCTTGCTGCTTACTTTTTCACAGCAGACTAGGACCATTAGTCTAAAAACTACCAATGCCAAACTCAAATCCTTACACATGTAATTGCTTTAAAATACATTCCAAATATATTCGTTGACCATTTACACATCTTTTGTAAAGTGTCTATTCATGCCCTTTGCCCAGTTTTTAATGGGGTTATTTGTTTTTATATTGTTGTTGAGTTGTTTGAGTACTTTGTAAATTCTGGATATCCATCCCTTGTCAGGTGTATAGTTTGCAATTATTTTCTGCCATTCATACAAATAGCCAACAAGCATAGGAAAAAATGTTCAACATCACTAAGCATCAGATAAATGCATATTAAAACCACAATGAGATATCATGTTACACCAGTCAGAATGGCTATTATTAAAAAGTCAAACAATAACAGATGTTAATGAAGATGTGGAGAGAAAAGAATGTTTATACACTGTTGGTGAGAGTGTAAATTAGTACAACCTCTATAGAAAACAGTATGGAAATGTCTGAAAGAACTAAAAATAGAAGTACCATTTGATCCAGCAATCCCACTACTGGGTATCTACCGAAAAGAAAATAAATCATTCTATCAAAAAGATACCTGCACTTGTATGTTTATCACAGCACTATTCACATTAACAAAGATCTGGAATCAACCTAAGTGTCCATCAATTAATAAATGGATAAAAAAATTGTGTTAAATATACAATAGGATTCTATTATCTACAAAACACAGTGAAATCATGTCTTTTGCAGCAAATTGGATAGAACTGGAGGCCATTATCTTAAGTGAAACAACTCAGAAACAAAAAGTCAAACACTGCATGTTCTAATTTATATATGGAAGCTAAATAATATGTATACAGGGACATAATGTAGAATAATAGACAATGGATATTCAGAAGGGTAGGAAGCTGGAAGAGGGGAGAGGGATGAGAAATTCCCTAATGGGTACAATGTACATTATTCAGGTGATTCATACACTAAAAGCCTAGACTTCACTTTTATACAATATATCTATATAACAAAACTGCACTGGTACTTATAAAATTATGCAATTGTATGTATATATAAATCCAAAATAAACATATTTTAGCCATTTAGAGCCTATCCATTTTGCATACCCTGATTTGCACCCAACACTTACTAAGCATAGATAAGATGAACCCTGTAGCTATGACAGACTCCAAATTGTTGCTGCCCTTTGGAGCTCTCTTGCCAAGAGACTTTTCATTTTGCTGCTGAGTAACATCACCTAAACAAACAAGCCTCCTATTCAATTTCCTGTTCTCCTCTAGGGAGTCCCTTGACCTATTCCTCTTCTATGTGGTGGCCTCACACAACTGTCTTGGAGAATCTCTTGCTGAACACTGTCCAAGCATTGTCCAATAAAGCTTATTATGTGTTACTGCTGCTCATAATCCTGTATCTTTCTTATTTGACCCTGAAATCTCTGAACTTACCATACAAGGATACAGAAAATATGAATAATGCTTTCACACAACAGGATCTACATTGACGCACATAGTACACTCCACCCTACAAGAATAGAATACATATTTTCTCTATCTAGGGATAGATAGATACATAGATAGATGATAGATAGATAGATGGAGAGGAGTTTTTTTTAATGGTCCAAGAAAACACGTACTCTATTCCCAGGTACAAGGGATTCTCCTGCCTCAGACTTCCAAGTAGCTGGGATTACAGGCATGTGACACCACGCACGGCTAATTTTTGTATTTTTAGTAGAGATAGGGTTTCACATGTTGGCCACACTGGTTTCAAACTCCTGACCTCAGGTGATCCACCTGCCTCAATCTCCCAAAGTGCAGGGATTATAGGAGTGAGCCACTGCACCCGGCTAGAAAAGCTATTCTAAAATTTATGTGGAAAGGCTCACGCTCTAGAATAGCTAAAATAATCCTGACAAAAAAGAATTAAGTGAGAGGAATCACTTTACCAGACACTAAGGTTTAGTATGTAGCTACAGTAATCAAGGCAATGGGGTATTGTAGAGGTATGAACACATAGATAAACATAACAAAATAAAAAAATTAGAAATACGCCCAGGAAAATTTGCTCACCTTATTTCTGACAAAAATTAAAAAAAAAAAAAGATTAAATGAATAAATGATCACCTCTTCACCAAATGGTGCTAGACATCCATGCGCAAAAAATGAAAAGAAATAAAGTAAGCCTAAGCCTCAACATCCTATACAAAAATTGACATAAGATGGATCATGAACATAAGTATAAAATATAAAACCAGAAAATATTTAGTGAAAAACAGAAAAAAAATCTTCAGGATCTACAGCTAGGTAAGGAATTCTTAGGCTTGATACCAAAAGTATGATCTATACAAGGAGAAAACAACAACAAAAAGATCATTACAACCTCATCAAGATGAAAATCTTTTCTCTGTGGATGAAGCTGTACAGAAGATGAAAGAAAAGCCGGACACTGAGAGAAATTATTCAAATTACCTATGCAATAAAATGATTGTATCCAGAATATATAAAGTTTCTAAACTCAATGGTAAGAAAACAATCTAATTAGAAAATGGACAAAATACATAAACAGAAATTTAAACGAAGATTTACAGATGACAAACAAGAACATGAAAAAATATGTTCAACATCATTAGCTACCAGGAAATACAAATTAAAACTTGAATTAAATACAATGACAAATTTATCAGAATGGCTATAATAAAAAATAATGACAACACCAAAGGTTGGTGAAGGTACAGAAAAAATGGATTGCTCATATGTTGCTGTTGGGAATGTAAAATAAGACTATGGAAAATAGTTTTAAAGTTTCTTATAAAATGAAACATGCAGTTGCCCTATAACCCAGCAATTATACTTTATTTCCCAGAGCAATGAAAATTTGTGTTTATTTTTTTTAAATGTATATAATTTTTTAGGAGTTTTACTTCTATGAGTAAAAAATTGGAATCAGCCTAGATGTCTTTCAAGAGGTGAACAGTTAAATAAACTGTAGTATGCCAATACCATGTGTGAGGGTTAATTTTTTATGTCAACTTGTCTTGGCCATATTGTGCCTAGAAATTTGGTCAGACACTATTCCTGATGTGTCTTTAAGGGTGTTTCTGAATGAGATAATATGTGAATCAAGAGACTCAGTGCAGCAAATTGTACTCTGTACTGTTGAAGGGCACCATTCAATCTGTTAAAGGCCTGAATAAAACAATAGACTTACCCACCAACTAGTAAGAGAAAATTCCTCTTGCTTGACTGCTTTTGGATTCAAACGGAAACACTGGTTCATCCTGGGTCTTGGGCCTGTTAGCGTTCACATTGGAAAAGAACTGTCAACTCTGTTGGTTCTCAGGCATTCAAATTCAGACTGGAACTACACCATCAAGTCTCCTGGGTCTCCAGCTGATTGCAGATCTTGAGACATGCCAGCCACCATAATTGCGTATCTCATTATTTTGGTCCTGGGATTTCTAGAATTGGCATTTTAATTTGATTAGATTTAAAGAGGCTAATGATTCTATTTCCAATAGTAAAGGGGGCACTGACAGTTATGGCATGATCTAGCAATGGGGACATGCAAAATATCACCACTGGCTACTCCTAATCAAGTACTTACAAGAAGCAAGGATCTAGGTGACTGTGTATATAATTCTAAACATTTTTATCAAAATAATACATATAGTGAGATTGGCTGGATGTTCTTAATGTCACTACACAAAGTGGAGAAAGGAAAAAATATTCTCATGGATTCAAATGTCCAGATCAAACACCGCATAATTAACTTGAAAGCTTCTATATGTGCCCTAAAGATGATCTTTATTTCCCAGAGCCACAGCGCTGATTGTTAAAAACCCAAAGCAGTATCTCATCCTATGACTGATGAAATTACAACCTACATTAAATTCCCAGTATCATAGGGCTCCTACTGTCAAAGTGAAGGCACTTATTGTGAATTATCATAAAAATCAAAAGGGGGACAAGTGGAAACCCCAGATAAAATTGGGAACATTTAGCCCATCAACTGTGATGAATTTTCTCTGCCAGTGAAAGAGGCCTCCTCACCCCTGTGAAAGTGGCCTGTCTACCTCACTCTGAGAGGATTAACCCTGCATTGCTTAAGGACACTGTAATGGTCACCGGGAGGCAGTTGTTCAGTACCCTGTTGATTCTCCTCAGAACCTACTTCCACCACACATCTTTGCTTCCAGACCTATAACTCAACTCAGGTTCCAGCAGTCCTCTGAAAGTGTGACCCATGAAGAGGTGTGCTCACAAATCTACTTGAATTTTCTAATTTATATAGACAGAAATTAAAATAATATGTTTGAAAATGAATACTAAGGGTGTGGGATAATGGTGGAAGAAATATAAAGTTGAATCAGGCCAAAATTTATTGATATAGGCTCACTATGAACCTGACTAATACAGTAGGTAATACTACTCAGCAATAAAATGGAACAAACTATTATACACGCATCAACTTGGATGAGTATCCAGGAAATGATACTGAGTGAAATAAGTCAATTTTTTTTTTTTTTTTTTTTGGAGATGGAATCTCACTCTGTCACCCAGGCTGGAGTGCAGTGGCGTGATCTCGGCTCATTGCAAGCTCTGCCTCCTGGGTTCATGCCATTCTCCTGCCTCAGCCTCCCGAGTGGCTGGGACTACAGGCCCCCGCCACCATGCCCGGCTAATTTAGTTTTTTCTTAGTTTGTATTTTTAGTAGAGACGGGGTTTCACCGTGTTTGGCAGGATGGTCTCGAACTCCTGACCTTGTGATCCGCCCAACTTGGCCTCCCAAAGTGCTGGGATTACAGGCGTGAGCCACCACGCCCGGCTGGTTACAAACTCTTTGATTTCATGTATATAACACACTTGAAATGATCAAATTATGGAATGAAGAACAAAGTAGTGGTTAACAGGGGTTACAGAGAGAGAATATTTGGGGGAGAGAAGTTATAAAAGGGCAATACTAGGGATACTTATGGTTATGTAACTGTCTGCATCTTGACTCAATACAAGAACCTACACAGTCGATAAATCACATGGAATTAAATACACATACATACCACACACACACTCAATCACAGAAATGAAGAAAAGTAAATCTGGAAGTCTAAATAAGATCAGTAGATTGTGTGTCAATATCCTGGGAGTAATATTGTACAATTTTGCAAAATGTTACCCATTGGGGTTAACTAGGTCAAGGGTATATGGGATTTATCTGCATTATTTCTTACAATTGCATGTGAATCTGTTGTTTTCCCAAAATAAAAACATTAATTAAAAAACTGAAAAAGAAAAATAGCACCCACCAAAATCAAACAACACACAAGAGTCAACCAGAAAGAGCAAATGGCCAAAGCTGGAGCAATTTAAGTAACAAAATAATTGTCATATTAGATTTTAACCTAATAAAATAAATATCCATGAGTCCATACTAATGTAAATAAGTGATTAAATAATACATGAATAAGTGCACGTAGGGGAAGAGAGAGCTCTTTCACACAATATAGTTCATATTAGTGAATGTAAAGAAAAGAAGTAAATCAAGAATCAAATAGACAAGATCTACCCATGGATGCTAAAATTAGTGGGTGTAAGTTTGAGGATAAAGAAGATTTGTATGGTCTCAGTGTATTTTCCTCAAGATATTTATCAAGTACAATGAGAAAGATAAAAACATTTTACATTGGAGAAATCCAACAGATACCAAAGTAATTGAGGCAGTAAGATTAGCATCACTAGTACTAGCATATATTGACAACATGAAATCCTTGAAAGCTTGTATTGGAAAAGTAACAATATCATTCATGTGGAGTTCTTGCCAAAAAAATATAACCCCCCTCCAATCACTAGAAAAATTTGAAAAGATACAAATGAAGGAATGCTCTACAAAATAACTTATTGTTGCCCTTTAAAAGTGTTAAAAGTCACAGAATGATGGATGTAAGGACACTTTGTACTATTTTCAATGTTGTGTAAGTATAAATTAGTTAAAAATACAGTCAATAAAAATGAACCAACACATTTTCATCATTCTCTAATTTTATTTTTGCTCCAATTGAGAAATTATTGTTTGAGGGTTGTTTGTCAGAATTTTAGAATGAAAGATTGCAATACTTTTGTCTCCTTTTCCCTGATAAGTCCAGCCTATTCACATCTCTTTCTGTGGCTCTATTCTCGAAAGCAATATTTCCCCTTCATATAGCTTGTATGTACTATGAATTGGTACCTAACTTATTTATCCCATCACTTTGCCACAGTGTTCAATTCAAGCATGTACATCTAAGCCAATGTTAAGAATAGGATACAAGGAGGTATTGCTGGAGGCTTCTTGGTCTCATCAACATGCTGGGTACAGTGGTATAAAGAGGTAACATCTGGCACTATCAGTCATTTCTGATCGAACAAAGGAAACAACTGAAAATAAGGCTGACACAGTGTAGGATAGATACAAGATAATTTCAAAGAACATGAAGAGGAACCCTGATATTATTACAGTGCCTAAAACTATATAGAGCATAGAGCCGTTCATTTATATGAGCTGATAAATTTCTTTTTGTTGAACATAGCTGGAATTGATTCTTTGATGACATAAAGACACTTAACCAATAGCTCACATTATTACTATTTGTCATGAAACCTTGCGCAATGCCAGAATCTTTGTTACCACAGTACAACTACCTATTGATTGTTGTTGGCATAAATGCAACCTAGTTTTTATCCTTGACTCTAGTATGTCAGACACTGTGCCACATGGTGTAGATGATACATAAATTAATTGAGGGAGCTCCTGCCCTCCAGGAATGTCCAGTCTACCACGGAATTTAAGAAATTTGTAAAAATATCTATAAGGCAGAAAAATAACAATCATAATCAGCTACGAGTTTAATGTTACAAATTTTCACAAGACTATGGGATTACTTATGGCTCGCCAGATCCAGAAAGATTAAGTGGAGAGGCGGCATTTGAGCATGGCTTTGAGAATGAGTGAAATTTAGACATATGGATATGGAGGTGAGCAGTCAAGAATAGAAAGAAAAAAAAAAAACTTTCCCAGAAGCTTAGAGACTTCCTTCAGCAAAAGCAGTCTGCTATTTTTTCTTGTTTATTTTATATATACATGTTTGCATAATATTTTAAATGAGAAGATGGCTTTCTGTGCAATTTTTAATAGAAAATTGGTGATGATATTCAACATTTTATTTTCACATAAGAAAACAAAGGCCTAGATATAAGAGGGTGACTTATACAAGGTCACTGAGTTAATGGCAGAACTCTTGCTTTTATGTGAGAATTGAGGGATAGAGAGAACAGCAGCCAAGTTTGGTTTTGAATCCTGCTAATGTCATTGACTAGATGTTTTGTTTTAGACTATTTGTTAAATCTTTTTGAGGGCCTCATTTTTTTTTTTTTTTAATCTATAAAAAAGGAGGCTGGGCATGGTGACTCATGATTGTAATCCCAGCACTTTGGGAGGCCAAGGTGGGAGGATCGCTTAAGGCCAGGAGTTTGAAACCAGCCCTGGCAACATAGCGAGACCCCATCTCTACAAAAACAAAATGTAAAAAGGAGCTGAGTATAGTGGTGCACACTTGTAGTCCCAGCTACTGGGGAGGCTGAGATGGGAGAACCACCTAAGCCCAGGAATTCAAGGTTGCAGTGAGCCATGATTGAGCCACTGCACTTCAGCCTGGGTTACAGAGCAAGAACCTGTGTCAAAAAAAAAAAAAAAGAAGGAGATAATAAGTCAACTATCTCACACAGTTGTTGAAATAAAATTTTTATATAAATTTTATGCCTTATCTGGAATATACTGTGTCTTTATAATAAATGTGGCAAAGACATCTCAATAAAACTTCTCAGCTGCCCATTAAGTACATATCTCTATTTTACGAAAAGCAAGCCCAACAGGATATTTCCTACATAAGCTGCTCTGGTTCATGTGATGTACTATGTAAGAAAAGCCAGTTTTGCAAACCTGAACACATCTCATTGGTCTGGGGAATAATGCACAAGCAAAAGTCACCCATATATGAACTGGACACAAGGACAGTCAATCACTTTTGAAGTGGCTTGGCATAACTCTCTCACAGTGAGTGGTAATAAACCATCTCAATCAAAATAGTTTTTGGGAAGTAAGAATGCTAGATCAATAAAGGTAAGGTATATTACTCAGCTCAAGTTGCTGTTTTGAGTTATTATGAATTTTCCTCTTTTATATAAAGACCAGTATTTATCACGGTGTTAGAAATTCTGAGATTTGTGTTGACAAGTGGCAAATTACGTTATTTATTCTGCACATTTGCCATAAATATCTATTGCTAAAGGTAATTTGTGATTTTATTTTCTGTGAAACCCAAAGGAATTTTACAGCTTAACTCATGTGTTCTGATTAAATAGCACCATCAGTAGTGACAGTAGCAGGAGAAGAAAGAAGAGGTAAAGGAGGAGGAGGAGGAAGAGG